TGCTCCAAACGACGCGGAACGTGGCCGATTTCAACGGCCAACGCGGGGACAATATGGGCAAAGCTCAGTGGAAGTGGCTTGAGGGAAAACCCATGCGATGGCGACGGCGTTCCGTGTGGTCGAGTCCGCACTGCAAGCGCTCCCGAACGACCGCTGGTTTGAGTCATGGTCGGCGTTCTCGCTCGCCCATCCTCGATGAATCAAGTTGCCCCAGGTTTCCAGCCATCTGGGATCGTTCCTTTGTGGCGAACGCGTACAGTGGCCACCGAAAAGACCGCGCACACGAGCTGGCATGTGCCATGGACATAAGCTATCAGGATGTGCCTCCTCCCCCTCGTCGACATGACTGCTCGCTGAACGGTGTGTTGTGGAAACGTCGAGTTCGACGAAGTGCATCAAGTGCAGTGACTCGTTCAAGCTGACCGAGGTCACGTCGCCGAGCCTCAAACACTCGTCGGTCGAGTGGACCACCAGTTCGTTCCACTTCGTCTCGACCTCTTCGTATACGGTGACGAACGCGCTGTTGCCGTGATGCTATTGCGTCTCCCACGACACCCATTTCAGCGGCGACAAACCCGGCAGTCCTCGGCCTAGTACGGGGACTGCCGTATCAAGTTGCAAACAGCGATCCCGTCGACTCGATTCGATGAACGCACAGAGAACGAAGGGGGGGATGCTGGCCCATCCACGGCGTACGTCCTGGTGACTTGATTCAGCGGGCCATGGCCATGTTTTCGATCCACGTGTTGTTCTTTGGCAGCATTGCCAGAACGCCGTTCGTAACGTGGTCCTACGACACAATTGATCTGGCGCGTCGTGGATAGCCCCACGCGACTAGATTCCACGATCCAGCGTCTGCAATATTGAGTGGGTGGTTTACCCCGAGATGCCAATGCGCACAATTGACGCACGGAGCCTCCGAGATAGAGTGAAGTGGCTGTGGTGAAGAAAGTTTCACTCGAACTTTTGGTGCTGATGGCGAGACCGAGAACGACTCCTGGTCGGTCGAGATGCTTGGCAAGCTCCTCGATGCAGGTTGTCCTATCACGGCTGTCGTCCCTGCACACGTGTCATCACAAATATGTCGCCCACGCAGGCATGAACGTGGCGCGGTTCAACTTTTCCCATGGCGACCATTCTGTGCATTCGACGGCGCTGGTGCTAATGAGTTGCCCAACCATCGACGATCGACGGATATGAGGGCGCAACGATGTTCAGTCGTCGTGGTCTCGCCGACTGCGGGGCAAGTGGCGCATGACTCGTCGGACACCGCATGCCGCGTTACATTGCAACTTACGATGTGAATATATGATCCTTGTTCAAAGTTGGGATTGCCTCAACGGCGACGGCGGACGCCTGGCAGTTCATCGGCGAGGAGGACATCGGCAGCATCAATCGTGTGAATGTTTACAGGAGCCACAAGCGCGTCAAAGGCACCTTGGTATTTTAGCTTGATTTTCTTCGACTCGACTGGTACTCGGAATGGGGTGTGCCTTGCATGAAGGCGCGCAGTCATGAGGCGATTCTGCCGTTCGATGTATGCCCGGTCAATGGCCCATAAATCTGGCAAGGTTGGTGTTGACGATACTGTGGGAATCGTAGTCTCTGGTGGGAGTTTGACTGGCAAATCACCGGTCCATAGCGACACGAGGCGGTGACGGATGCGAGTGGCCAGGGACTTGCGTTTGGCTATGGCGTAGCGCATGCGCAGTCGACGAAGTTGCTTGACAACTTCTTTCTCCGATGCGTCCGTGGCATCACCTTCCAAGGCCGATTCACGCAACACGGGTGCTTTCGCCACCTTGGACAATTTCGGCCGAGGATTCGGAACGTACGGCGAGAAGGTGACTCGTCGCGGCGAGGAGAGACATTCTAACGCTGAGGTACCACCCACACTCTCACGCCGATGCCACTTAGGGGTGGACGTCTCGAAAGCATGCTTAGACGATACAAGCAAAGATGTAGAGCTTGTGCGTTGTTCAGCCTTAGACTCGGCAGTCCGCAAGATGCCGCGTACTGGGGTACTTGCTCGGCTCATGGCTCGCTCCAGTGTTTCCCTCGTGAAACCAAATCGCATAGGTCTTGTGAAGTTCGATTTGCAATCTCCATACAAATATCAAGCTAACAATTGAGTTCGATGGTCACGTCGTACTTAAACAGGTCAGTCTAGGGCCATTTTTCAATTTTGTGGCCCGTACGCAGGTGGTGTGCGGATCAGGGGCGATGAGCCTCAACATGGACGACTTGGTTGCGTCCTACTTGGCACAGCGAGGGTATCAGAATGGCGGTGGCGCTGTAGCGGCTCCACCGGGACTCCATGAATATGCGCGGCATGTCGGACTGTCCATCGACGTATGTGTGGCCAACCACGTTCTGTTCCATGGCAACAACAAAAACGATCCAGAGGCGTACGAGCGTGCGTATTCCATGTTGCTTACATGGATTGGCAATTCGCTCGATATGTACAAGTTGGAGCTTCACGCAGTCGCGTTCCCGTTGTTCATCCATTGCTACCTCGAACTCGTCGCGAAAGGTCACATCGACGCAGCCAAGGCGTTCTTCACACGCCACGCCCAGGACCACCAACGTCTCCACAAGCTAGAAATTCGATCTGTGGGATCTATTCTCACGCGAGAGCACTTGGGTTTGAACGAGTACGCCAAGCAAGTGCTGCATTCGAAGTTTCATGTGCAGTTGAGTTTGCTTGGTTTCCAGCTGCTCCACACCTTCCTCAGCGACCATCAGATGTTCCTCTTGCTGTGCATCTTGAATGACCGCGTCACGATATCTGTGCAAACCAACCACCCTTCCCTCACGATTGCCCAGTGCGACACCTCGATCCCGTCGCAACCACCGACGTCAAGCACTTCTTCGACCTTGCTCTTCGAGACGTCAGGTACTTCTGCAACTCAGGTACTTTGCATGCTCAATTATCGTGTAGACGAAATCTCGCAAAAAGTCCAGCACACACCAGAAGCCAACCACATTGCAGCGCAAATTACGAGCGGCGACTACGACATGACTTATATGGTCCAGACGGCGGGCGGCGATCTTTCCGAGATGCCAAGACCGACCTTGGCGTCGTTGCATCAAGTGCCCGTGCTGTGGGGCGTCTTTCCTCCGCGAAAGGTGTGTATACGCAAGCATGTCAATGGATCATGGTAGCTCGAAAGCCAATCTTGCACGAATTTTGACATTTGCTCTGATGCGTAGCGAGTGGTGGCGGCTTCGACTGAAGGAGAAGGGGACGATCCAGCTACCGCCCCAACAGACGCGGCATCTGCGCCTTCGACCGGTGCTGTTGGCGCCACCTCCACGTCTGCAACCGACGCAAAATCCAAGGATTCACTCGCGAACTCATCCAATGTGTCGGCGGCAAGCGATGTTGTCGGACCCGTCCCTGATCGAACGTCGTCGTTCAATGCAAACCTGTTGGAAAAACTTGTGCTACGGCAGCCGGCGGACGTCCAAGAAGCAGTGCGTGCAGAGCTCTTTCGCCACGTGGCTAACGAGTGTCCAGGCATTTCAAGACGTTGACGCCCAGCTGGCCTTGAGCAGTACCCAGCTGCCGTCAGCGCTGTGCTATACGATAGCAAACTCATCTGAGCATTTGACCAACGTGTGCTTCAGCAACAACGGAGACCTCGTGGGCGGGGCGTTCGATGACTCGTCGTTCCGTGTGTGGAGCCAAGACGGGGCGCCGTTGGGAGGGTTTGCCCACCACAAGGACAGCACGTACGTGTCGTTGCTCTTTCAAGGTGAACTTCACAGTCTTGATGTTGCAGGTCGGCAATTTTACGAGGCCACGCTGGCCCGGTCTACGGCTGCGGGTTCACACCGGACAACCGGTTTGCCCTGACGAGTTCTGCAGATGCGACAATTCGCCTGTGGAGCTTGGCAAGTCGCACAACCATGGTCGTGTACAGGGCGCAGTACCCTGTGTGGGATGTAGCTATGGCGCCCCTCGGGTACTACTTTGTGTCGGCATCGATGGACCGTACGGCGCGGCTGTGGAGCACAGACCGAACTCAGCCGTTGCGAGTGTTCGCCGGACATTTAAGCGACGTGGAGGTGGGGTCTCTCTTATCGCAATGGATCGAAGCTTTGACCCGCGACATTTGAGCAGTGTGTCGTGTTTCATCCAAACCACAATTACATCGCAACGGGGTCGTCGGACAAGAGTGTGCGGCTGTGGGACGTCCAGTCGGGACACTGTCTCCGGGTCTTTTCAGGACACTACGGCGGTGTGTCGGCGGTGGCGTTTTCGCCAAATGGGCGATACTTGGCCAGTGCTGGTACGTCATGCGGACCGGTGATTTGGACTGACACCGTGGCCAGGTGACGACGCGCTGGTGAGCATTTGGGACCTCCACATGGGCAAGAAGCTGGATACCCTCGTGGGCCACCAAGATGCAGTCCATTCGCTTGCATTTTCGGCCGAAAGCTCCTTGGTCGTGAGCGGAGGCGCGGACAACACAGTGCGGCTGTGGGACATGCACCGCCTTGACACGGCGGTAAACCACAAAACGACCCCGCCCGTAACGGTGCACCAGCACAAGCGCAAGGCAGGGAGCGCCATCGCCAGTCGCTCCCTCCTCAAAACCTTTACGACAAAACGGACACCCGTCCTGCGCGTGCAATTCACGCCTCGTAACATGCTCTTGGTTGGAGGCGCGTATGTTGGAGGCCCACCTTAACTTAACAGTGATGCGTGGCGTGAGATTTGCGACTTTGGGTGGCGAACGCAGTCTTGGGCTCGCAAACAGCACCGCTGCCACAGTCGACCAGGCATCCGCGTATTGCTCTCCCCAGGTAGTACAGAGTGTGCTGCCATCGCAACCACCAGTTCAAAAAGGTCTTGAGAGCGCATAACCACAAATATGCCAAGGAATGCTACACGGAGGTCACCACATCCAAGTCTGTGATACACTGAACGTTGGACCTTGCGTGCATGGACGTATCGCTGTCATTCCCAAGTCGTGTTCTTCGAGTGTTTCGATAAGTGCTAGTAGTACTACACACAGTATTGGTCGTACCATGTTGTGGTGGTAGTACAGTCCTTATATGAGTACACTCAAATCTACTACTAGTTCAATCAGTATTTACTACTTAGTACTACATTGTACAAGTACTCCGGAGTAGTACCTAGAGTTGCGTGTATTTCGGCATCAGACATGATTCTCTGCATTACAGTGATGCCTCCATTTTTGCAACGACCGAAATCAATAAACAATGAAAGGAATAAATTTACAAGGTTTGGTACAACACGCTCTGCAGACAATTCAAATGTATTCGTTCAGCTGATCAAGACATCAATTGACAGGTCGTCACGAACTCGCTCCTGGCGAGTTTGTCATAACTTGCGGACGTATTTGTGTTGCTCATGTTTTGCACGTTGGTGTTTGCCATCCTGGGCATGGAAATGTACCGCGGGACATTTCATTATCGGTGCCGGGCGACGCCGTTTCCCGTCGCATTGCCCCCGAACGGAACGCTCAACTACCCTCCCAACGCATCGTACATTGCGACGGTGCAAGCCGCGCCCGACCTGTTTCCGTGCATGATGGGAAGTGCGCCGATTTCCCACAACACGTCG